GATCAAAAAAAGAGCCTAGACAAAATATTTCAAGAAATTATCAAAGAAAACTGCCCTGATATCCTAGAACCAGAGGGCAAAATAGAAACAGAATCCACCAATCACCTCCTGAAAGAGATCCCAAAATGAAAAGCCCCCAGGAATATTATAGTGAAACTCCAGAGCTTCCATGTTAAAGAGAAAATACTTCAAGCAGCCTGAAATTCACAGTGAGGATCAGCCTCAGTCAGGATCATACAAGATTTAGCAGCTGCCATATTAAAGAAGTAGAAGATTTGGAATATGATATTCCAGAAGACAAAAGAGCTAGGATTACTATCAAGAATAACCTACCCAATAAAACTGACTAAAACCCTTCAGGGGAAAAAAGGGGGGGGGTATTTAAAGAAATAGAGGACTTTTAAGCATTCCTGAGGAAAAGACCAGAGATGAATAGAAAATCTGACAACAATGGAACCTCATACTGAAATTTGTGGCCAAAGCAGCACTTAGAGGAAAATCTATTATCTCTAAATTTATATCTCTAAAATATCATCAATAAAAGAGAAAAAGATCATGATGGAAAATGCTATCCATATCCAAAGAAAGAACTGTGGAGTTTGAATGCAGACTGAAGCATACTATTTGTTATCTTTTTCTTCTGTTTTGTTTCCTCTTTCCGGTGGTTCCTCCTACTGGTTCTAATTCTTCCTTACAACATCACTAATGTGAAAATATATTTAATAGAAACGTATATGTATAGCCTATATCAGACTGCACACCGTCTTGGGGAGGGAGGTGAGGAAAGAGGGGTAGAAAAATTTAAAACTCAAAAGTTTATGGAAGTGATTGTTGATAAAATAAATTTTAAAAAAAGAGAAAAAGAGCAGATCAATGAATTGGGTATGCAACTAAAAAAAAAAACCTAGAAAAACAAATTTAAAATCTTCAACTAAACAGCAAAATGAAAATTCTGAAAATCAAAGGAGAGATTAATAAAATTAAAAACTACTGAACTAATAAAAATAGGAGCTGGAAGAAGACAGAATAAACCATTGGTTAATTCTATTTTTTGAAAAGAAGAAAACCACATTACCAGTATCAAAAATGAAAACTGAATGCACTACCAATGAAGATAAAATCAAAGCAATTATTAGGAGTTATTTTGCCCAATTATATGCCAGTAAAACCAACAATCTAAGTGAAATGCATGAATATAAGTTGCTCAGATTAATGGAAGAGGAAATAGAATACTTAAATAACCCTCAGAAAAAGAAATTTAACAAGCCAGAGAATTCTACCAAACATTTAAGGAACAATTAATTCCAATATCATACAAACTATTTGGGGGGGGAAAAAAAAACAGGAGTCCTACCAAATTCCTTTTATGACGTAAACATGATTTCAATACCTAAATCAAGGAGAACAAAAACAAATACAAATACAATTTTAAAAAAGACCAATTTCCCTAATGAACATTGAAGCCAAATTTTTACATAAAACTCTAGCAAGATTACAACAGAAACAACACTACGAAGCAACTAAAAAGATCCTACACTATGACAAGGTAGCATTTATACTCGGAATGCAGGCTAGTTCAATATTGGAAAAGCTATAAGCATAAATGACCACATCAATAACAAAAACAACCAATATCATATGATTACATCATTAAAACACCAGAAAGCCTGGGAATTAACGGAACCTCTCTTCAGATGGTAAGGAGCATCTACTGAAAACCAAGAACAAGCGTAATCTGTAACGCAGATGAGCAAGACGCCGTCCTGATGAAATCAGGGAGGAGCAAGGACGGCCATCGTCACCCCTGTTACATGATGCTGTCCTAGAGATGTGAGCTACAGCAACAAGACAAGAAAAAGACACCGAAGGAGTGAGAAGAGGCAACGAGGAAACATCACTATCGTTCTTTGCAAAACCAAGTGATGACCTACTTAGAGCACAAACTAAAGAAACCGGTGGAAATAATGAACAACTTAACAGAGTTTCACAGCACAAAAGGCCCACACAAATCATTAGCGTTGCTACGTATTATCAATAAAACCCAGCTGAAAGAGACAGAAAGAGAAATTCTATGTAAAATAACTACAGACGGGCTCAGGAGTCCACCTGCCAAGACAAACCCGGAGACCACATGAGCACCATCACAAAATACTTTGCACAGAGATAAAGACAGACCTAAACAAGTGGAGAAATATTATTGCTCATGGGTTACTTGTTCAGGGCCATACCAACCCACCTACCAAAGAATGATTTTATAGAGCTAGAAAAAATAATAACAAGATTCATCTGAAAGGACAAAAAAGGTCAAGAATATCAAGGGAATCAATGAAAAACAACGTGAAGAAAAGCAGCCTCGCCGGACCAGCTTTCAAACTATGTGACACAGCAGTAACCATCAAAACAATCTGGTACCGGCTAAGAAAACAGAGTGGTGGATCAGTGGAATAGATGAGGTACACAAATGACCACAGTAATCTAGCATATGATAAACCCAAAGATGCAGGCTCCTGGGGTAAGAATTCACCATTTGACAAAAATTGTTGGGAAACTGGCAGGCTGTTTGGCAGCAGATCAACATCTCACATCATATACTAAGGTAAGGTCAAAAGAGTACATGATTTTGACATAAAGGATGATGTCAAAAGTAAATCAGGGGAGCATGAAAAATTCACTAGTCAGGTCATGGATAAGAGAAGACTTTAATGGCCAAATAAGAGAGAGGATCAGGGGAAGTAAAACAGATAATTCTGATTACATGAAATTACAAAGTTTTTGCACAGACAAAACTAATGCAGTCAAAATGATGAGGAAAGCAGGAAACTGGAGGGAAAATTTACAGCCAGTTTCTCTGATAAAGGCTTCATTTCTCAAATATATAGGGAAATGACTCAAATTTATAAAATTAAGAGCCATTCCCCAGTTGACAAATGGTTAAAGGATATCACCAGACAGTTTTCAGAAGAAGTAATCAAAGCTATCTAGTCATATGAAAAATGCAAAATAAAACAATTTTGAGGTGCCACTTTACACCTATCAGACTGATTAACATGACAGAAAAGAAAATGACAAATGCTGGAGAGGATGTGGAAAAATTGGGATACTAATACACTGCGGTTAGAGTCACAAACTAATCCAACCACTCTGGAGAACAATTTGGAAGAAGAGCCAAAGGACTATAAAATTGTGTATACCCTTTGACCCAGCAATACTACTGCTAGGTCTGTATCCCAAAGAAATCAAAGAAAAGGAAAAAGCACTTGTTTGTAAAAAATATTTATAGCAGTTCTTTTTATGGTGGCAAAGAATTGGAAATTGAAGGAATGCCCATCAATTGGGGAACGGCTGAACAAGTTGTGGTATATGATTATGATGGAATACTATTGTGCTGTAAAAAATGACAAGCAGGATGGTTTCAGAAAAACTTGGGAAGCCTTACGTGAACTGATGCAAAATGAAGTGAGCAGAACCAGAACACTGTACATAGTAGCATCAATAATATAATGATCAACTGTGAAAGACTTAGCTACAACGATCAAGACAATGATTGAAGTTAATTCCAAAGGACTCACAATGAAAAATGCTATCCAGTTCCAGAGAGAGAACTGACGAACTCTGAGTACATATTGAAGCACTTTTTCTCATTCTCGTTATTATTCCGGGCCGGGGGGGGGGGTGTTCTTTTGCAAGATGGGCTAATATGGAAATCTGTTTTACATGACTTCACATGCATAATCCATATCAAATTGCTTACCTTTTCAAGAGGTGGGAAAGAGGGAAAGAATTTGGAACTTAAAATTTTAAAAACGAACGTTGAAACAAATTTTAAATGCAATTGGGAAATACATTATGAAATAAAGACATTAAAAACAAAGCAAAACAACTTTCAAGGGCTCCCTCCAATAGCTCGGAGCCCCCACTCACAGACTCTACCAGGTGGCCACGTGTCAGTGCTGCACCAGGGACATCTGAACACCCCCGGGTTTTGGCACGCCTCTCCTAGGATCCTCTCACACTCTACCAAGTATCAGACTTATTTCTGTGCATGTGGCAACCCCCACTGAACTGCAAGTTTCTTGAGGAAAGGACTTGTAATTGTCCACTCTTGTCTCTCGGGTGCTCAGCACAGGATCTTACACACACTAGACACTTAATAAATGTTTGGCATTTCAGCTGCAGACTCTCTGAGTGGAATGGGCCCTCGGGGGCATTCTCAGCTGGGTCTGCAGCCCTTTGAACATCTGAGAACAAAGGTCATATCCCTCCTGAGGTTCTCTCCTCTAGCTCACATACCCTCATTTCCCTTCCACCCACAGCTCTCAGGTATGAGCTCCAGTCTCCCCAGACCTCCTGGTCACCCCAACTTGGGATATCCTCCAATTGGTAGCCTCTCTACTCTGTAAGGCCTCCCTCCTGGGCTGCCAGCCCCACATGAGGGCAGGGGCTTCAGCAGCAGAAAGCCCTTCATTGGAGCCATCAGCAGGAGAGCAGCTTTACAAAGTTTCCCACGTGAATGAAACGGACTCCTACTACAAGGAAACGTGTGGCAAATGTGTGAAGAGGGGTGGTCCAGGGCAGCACGGACACAAGCACCATCTGGACCCACCCACTGTAGCACTAAAAAGGAAGCCAAACATGGAAAGTTTTCTTTAAAAACCTTCTGTCCTCTTGGCACAGAGGCAGGGGCTGCTAGGGCAGACTATCATGGGCACTGCTGTAGTGAGCCTCTTTGCTTGTTACAAAAGGGGACCCAGTTTGGAGATGGGGCAAGGAGAAGGACATTTCTTCATCAGTACAACCTCTTCCTTTTTTCCTTTTTTTTTTTTTGAAAGTAAAATAAGGCTTCCCTCTACGCGTTCATGGTCCCCTCTGTCTGGGGGAGCCCAGGCGACAATCTTACCCCTCTATGACTCTGGTGGCCTCTGGTCAGCCTGTGTTAACCAGGGCCTTTGTCCTAGCCTGTGAGGACCCGCCTCGTCCCCTCCCCCTCCAAAGCAGCTTACCTGGGTGGCCATGAAGTGGCGAGTGGGGCCGGGGCAAGGTTGGGGACGTGCTGGATGGAACAATCAGGCTCTTTCGGTTGCTCGTCCTACAACTGCAATGAAAAGAAGAATGTGAATAGGGCTGGTCAGCCACCGAGAGGGAGGGCTGAGGCTGCAGAGACCACTGCCCCCAAGCCCCCACAAGCACTCTGGCTGGCTTTCCCTGCTGGAACGTTAGGTCATACTGACCAAGACTGAGAGCAGGAACGTGCAGGCCAACAGGAAGTGAGGCCAGAGACAACTGAGTAAGAGGGGCCAAAGGCACGGTCACAGAAAGGCCCCCTCATTTACAAAGGGGAAAACTAAGGGCCAGAAAGGAAGAAGGGGAAGGGCTTGTCCAAGGTCACAAAACAAGTCAACTGATGTTCCAAAACTCAAGGGCAGATCTCCCGAGTCCCAGGCCTGGTGTTTTCTTCCTCACAATGCTGCCTTAAGACACAATAGGGCAAAGTGACATTCAAATATATGCCATCCAACTGGGCCGAACCAAGCGAGCTCCTGACGCTCAAAAATGGGAAAAGAGAACACATGTCCACTCTGATGATCACCATTTCCTACAGAAGTTTAACTGATGCACGCAATCACCACAAGGAACACTTCAAGCGAGGCTGGAAATCACTCAGCTACATGTCATCTGCTTGCCAGCTGAGGGCACCAGTTACTAAGCTTTATGTTGGGATCAGAGTAGAAGTCACACCCCCAAAGTCACTGACCCAGCAATGCCACTCCTAAGCCTACTCTGCAAAGAGATCAAAGTAAGAGGGAAAGGATCTATATATGCAAAAATAGTTATAAAAGCTCTGTTTGTGAGAGCCCCAAATTGGCAATAAAGGCGTGCCTATCAACTGGGAAATGGTAAAACAAATTGTGATATATAGATGTGATGGAATATTGTTACACCATAAGAAATGATGAAAGAGAAGGCTTCAGAGAAACTTGGGACAGATGGATACAGAGAAAAGTGATCAGAAGTAGTAGAACTTCTACAAAACCAACATCGTAAAAACAACCTCGGAAAGACTTAAGAATTCCAATCAGTCTGAGGACCAAGCATGATTCCACAGGACTCACGAGGAAGCCAGCTGCCTGCCCACCTCAAGACAGAAAGACGAGAGACAAATATGCAGAATATGAAATACATTTCTATATGTGGTCAACATGGGAATTTATTTTGCTTGACTACGTATATTTATCATGAGAGTGCTATTTTTTGTTTTTCATAGTAGAGCAGGGGCAAGGTAGGAGTGAGAAAAATAAATCCTTGTTGATTGAAAAAAATTAAATTAGTCCCTTTCCTTCTCTAGGCCCCAGTTTCCTTCTACATCAAACAAAGGGGCTGGACTTGATGACCTCTGAAATCCCTTCTAGCTCCTCTGATCAATCAATAATCAATAAACACTAAGAGCCCTTTTGGGCTATACTAAGCCCATTGTGCTAAGTGCCGGATTAAAAGCACCATCATCTCATCTGGCAATGAAAAGTGGTGGAGGAGAAAATGAGTCTCTAGAAAGAATGGCACAAGATTCAATTTTATCAGATCATCTCAGGAACACTCAGAGATGAAAACAAAGAAGTTCAACAAAGAGCCAGAACCAGACTGCTTGGACGGTGGTGGGCAGAACCAAGATGGCAGAGGGAAATCAGTAATTTTTCTGAACTCCCTCAACCTAACCCTCTCAACAACTTTAAAAAGCATATCAAACTGAATTCTGAGAGGGTTAATAAAAAGAGTCACAATGAGTCATTTTTCCAGCATACAGCAGCTTAGGAGAACAAAAAAGGGGGATATGCAGACGCTGGAGAGGGACCTAGGCCACAGCTTGGCCAACACCCAGAACAGTAAGGAGGCAATACCTGATCAGAAAAGACTCCTATGCTAGCACTGGGCACAGGACCAGGCACCACCAGTGCCAAGTCACAGTGCCAGGGAGGAAAAGAGCAGGACCAGAGTGCAAACCAGGAGGGGCAGTGACCAGAACTCAAAAACTTGCAGGCCCTCATTGAAGCTATCAAAGCAGCCAGAGGGCATATAAACTAGACGCTCAGGCCAGACATCCCTCCCCACCCCTAAGGTGAAAGGAACTCTAACATGAAGTCCAAAGTCAAGAAACAGGCTGAAAAAAATGAACAAACAACAAAAAAAAGAACTTGACCATAAAAAGTTACTATGGTGATATTCCCAATCAAGACACTGAAGAAAATGACTCCTTAAAAACTAGGATTGGCCAAGTGGAATCTAATGACTCCATGAACCATCAAGGAACCATAAAACAAAGTCAAACTACTAGGGAAAAATAGAAGGAAACGTGAAATGCCTCAGAGAAAAAGCAACTGACCTGGAAGATAGATCAAGGAGAGATAATTTAAGAATTACTGGGCCACCAGGAAGCTATAATCGAAATTAGAGCCTACACATCACATTTCAAGAAGTCGTAAAGGAAAACCAGCCCATTCTGCTCACGTTTCCACACATTCATTCTCCTCGCTAATGACAGCAGAAGCACCACCTGGGGACACTTTGCTCCACCGCGTCAGACAAGGAGACGGAACCATCCTTGAGAAGATGAAGTTAAGAAGAAACCTGCACTGGGGGCAGCACAATCTTGGGAGCATTAAAGGATGAATTCTTGGATTCTTGAGATACGTGAAAGCAGAGAAAACACCCACAGTTAAGGAGAGTCCTCTACAATCTTGGCCGCTTCCCCGTAGTAGGGACTCACTCTCCCCCTGGACATACTTGTGTTTCTGGAAAAGTTCTGATTATTAGTCATTTATACCAATTTGAGTTATGGCCCCTGGAGCAGGGGTTCTTTACTCTCACTGATTCCTTAAGGAGTCAGTGAAACCTATGAGACAGACTCTACCTCAGAACCATGTTTTTAATGCATAAAATAAAATACACAGAATTGCAAAGGACATCAATTAAACTGAAATAAAGCTATCAAAACATTCTAATAAAAAAAGTGCGCTGACCCCAGATGAAGAATCTCTAACCTAGAGGCAAACAGAGCAAGCAGCTCGTCTTCCCCAATTCATCCTCTCCTTGCAAAGTCCCTCTACAAAGGAAGTGAATGATCATGCCTCCCAAGCCTTCTCTCCAGCTCACTACCTTCCTCGGCGACGGCCAACGAGGCACCCACAACGAGACCCAACTCCTCACAGGTGATGAGCCCACAGGGGAGCACGGGGGGGGGGGGGGGGGGGGGGGGGGGCGCACCTGTGAACTCTGGCATCTTTATCTTCACTTAGCTCCAACTGAAATTTAGTGTTTCCTCCCATTAATTACTAATTTGAAAGAATACGTGAGAGGTCTCGCTTCAGGCTTCCCTAAGACAGCCTGCCCAAGAGATCCATGATAGAAAAAAGGTCGAGAGGAAAAGGCAGCACAAAGATAAAAAGGTGAAGAGCCTCTGCTCCGCACAGGGTGCTTCTACTCAAGGCAGCCAAAGAGGGTTGGGCAGTCAGCACATCACACAGTTGGCCTGCGCTGAGCTTGAGGTCCACTAGAACCTCCTGATCATTTTCAAGGGAACTGCTTTCTAGCCACCTTACCTCATCATGTTCTTATGGGGGACTGTTGATTTCTTGAATTTCCACACAAGCAGCCAGTGGCACTACCAGAGCACTGCAGTTGGAGCCAGGAAGACTGGAGTTAGAAGCTGACCTCAGACACTTACTAGTATGTAACCCCAGACAGGTCACTTCACTGCCGTCTGCCTCAGTCTAAGCTCAATCATAAAACGAGAGTGGCTGGACTTGAGGGTCACAAAGGTTCCCTTCAGCTCTCCAGTTCTGACTCCTATTGACTTTCAGTTCCTCAGGTTCAGCTCACTGTTCTAGCCCGTCCTCACTTTCTGCACGGGCCACTGGAGACCTCCTCCTCAATCATCTATCAACAGTCTAGGAGTCACGTGTCAGCAAGTTCTTGAAACCACCCCCCCTCCCCCCTCCACTATCTGTCTTTGGCAGAGACAGCAGGGAGCAGTGCATCGATTGCTTGGCCATGAGTCAGGAAGAGCTGGGTGTGAATCTTGCTTCAGACACTCACTGGCTGAGTGACCCCACTTCCACAAGCTTCAGTTTCCTCAGCTGTAAAATGGGGACACAGACTGTCTAGGCCTCCCAGGGTTATCGTGAGGTTCGGCGCTTCACAAATCTGACTGTCACCTAGAAACCAGGGGCGTTCTCATTCTCATTATGCTTCTCTCCAGTCTGTCCGTCTTGCCCCCACACGTGGCTCCCCTTTTCGCTTCCTTTTGTGTGTTGCCTTGCCCCATTAGACTGTAAGCTCCTGGAGGGCAGGGATTGTCTTTTTCTTATTTGTATCCCAAGCACTTAGCATAGGGCCTGGCACATAGTAGGTGCTTATTAAATATTTACTGAATTGAAAACTGGTAAGGCAGTGTGGCCTAATAGATAGAGGGCCAATGTCAAAGCCAGGAGGATTTGTATTCAGGCCCTACTTCAGGTCCACACCAACTGGGTGGCCCAGTCATTTAACCTCAGGGAACCCTCTAAGAATATATGGTACAGAAAAGGTGCCAACCCACACAGGCGGAGGGAGTTTGCTCCCCTGGGAGTTCCCTGTACCAATGTACCAGGTCCAGTCCCTACACTAACCCTACCAGGTCTAGACTACAGGGCTGAACCAGTGACCCGGCCAAGAGACAAACATGAAGTTCAGCCTTGGCAGGAATTGCTCTGAATCCCAGGGCACTAGGAGAGATCCCCACAAACCATCCTTTTAACAGTCCCTTCAGAGTCTTGCCAGGAATGGATAGCCAGCTCAGAGGCTCCCCCATCTTCAGACCTTTGCTTTCCTTCAATCCTTGGTTCCTTAAAGACTCCTTTGGGGCCCACAGGAATAGCCAGCATTCCCAGAGTGCTCTGAAGTTTACAAAGCACTTGGCATGAGGGCTCACACAAAAGCTGATGCTTTTGTTGTGTCCCAGGACAACTAAACTCACCACGCAAGATGAAGCCTGAAACGATGATGCTAACAACCCAGAACCTCGAAGGACATGTTCAGGAGGCCTTCCCAGGCTGGCAGATG